CTATATCAGTCAAAATGTCGTGAATGAACAAAATGGCGTGTGAAAACAATAAGCCCAAAATATTTGTTCGCTGCTCCTGACGCACTTATTTATTTTGTTCCTCAAGATTCTTCGATGGCTCCATGTCTATTTGTAGAGAATATATATATATATATATATATATATATGACTTGGCGGCGTCCGTATCCGGATTTGCCTGTCACTGTGATGTCCATGGGGACAGTCACAGGACGCCTGCGCCTACAGAGGGACCATGGGTGGCTTGCGCTGCACCACCCATAGTTCCATCCACACACCCCATATCCAGTGTAAACCCGAAGGAATAAGACCGGGAGGCATGCGGATGGGAGCCACGTGTCATCAACGGAGCCGGCCCACACTCCTTCAACAAGCAGAACGGAAGCATTCCGGCCTAATTGGGAATTCATACACACCAGACGTACGCGAGGCGGTGGCTGGACCGTAGCCCGTGCCATACAGGTTGCATGTAACCACTCTTTGAGCCTAGCACCGTCACGAGGACGGTGCACTCCGTCCCCTCCAGCGACGACCAACTGTCTCCTGGAGCCAGTATGGACGAGGTAGTGGGTAATAGACAGGTAGGCACCTTGTCAACATTCACATCAGGCGCATCCACACAGGGGAGCTCAAGCAACATCTACTTCTGAAATGCAAGATTATTCATCACGCAGGCAAACGTACCACATACGTCGCCTTATTGGCCTGGATTAGTAAATTGAATGGGAACATACTCATGGTGCTTCTATTCCGCGTACAATTGTGCCTTCTCCGGCACCTGGGAAACCGCCCTTTTGAGTAGTTCACGGAATTCGCATCGATCACATTTGCCTTGGATTCGCAACACCTGAAATCAACATGAGTTTGTCATAAACTCACCTTCTTCATGTTCTGGTAATATTATTTTCGGTTTGCTCGAATGTCGTTCTACTGCACTAAGTTAACCGTACAAAAGCGATATGAAGATCCTCGTGGAATTCATTCAGTATACATATATACATAGATTGGCGTCATCTTTGTCCAATGGCAGTTCGAATGCAACATATGTACATGCGTTTATGCAAACTTAAGTGTGAGCTGTCACAAAGTGGATAGAGACACATTAGAAATCATCATCAATGGTACGACAAACGTGTATGGGTTTCGTTTGGAGGTCAGGCTAACAACCACTTTTGCAGGTATGAGAATAACTACCCAATACGAACGGTTGATGTTTTCTTCCACATTTAGACGTGACTGCCTTAAATCTTGGGCATTCATATTTGAAAAAATCCGATGTGGCAATAGTAAAGCAACTGCTAGGTAGAATGATGACTAGACTATTGGTACAGTGAAATAGTGTGCACTTAGGTGTTGCCCTCTACATGTACAGTCTGGTTTGAGTAGCTGATGTGGGAGATCACACAGCATACGAATGCGATACAGTGTCCACTTCTGGCTCTCTGTGTCTCCGACCGGTTCGGTCATGTGCTGCCCGAGGCATGTGCACCTACTCAAAGAACGATTGATGCGCAACCTTTGGTATTGACAAGTGACATCAACTAAGTCCCGCTGCCCACTGTCAAACATGCGACTTTCCAAACAGTGTTCACATTTATTGTGCAAATGTCCAAGTACTCAACCGTTTATACCTACCGACCTGTACTCTACTGTGACTATAGGCTATTTACTAACGGTCTATATCGTACGTTCCAGGTGCAGCCCATTCCGTACTCATAAAACCATTGTCGCTATGCGCCGATTCATTTCCGATGTTATATAATAACACACTGACGTACCATTCCCGTTAGATGCAACCTTTTATTTAATCCATTCAAAAGATTGGCCATGTGCAATGCAACTTCTGGTAGGCGTCTCTGCACGTCTGCCTTCCATCCGGTTAATACGTGTGTTTTCATAGGCCCCGGTAAATTCAGTATGGCTGAGAGATAACTGGAACTATAACTATACTCACTCTCTTCACTAGCCTGCGGAGTGGAACATGGAATGGCAATATCGTGATAATCGCTAGTCGGTTAATTGTCGGGATTGTTCACTTGACACAGATTTTCCAGGGAAATTTCTCTTCGAATGCATAATCCAAAGTGGTCACAAGAAGGACAATCGTTGAGCATTGTGTTAGAAATGTCAAATTTGACATTTTATGCGTACTGTAAACGGCCAAGCAATGATAACATTTCGATTCAAACGTATCCATCGAACTGGAAACATACACAATAATTTGCCACCCTAGCATTGATCCGTAGCAAGCACACAAATCGCTCGGAAATACCGCACTCACATCAATTACGAATGAGCTCATGGATGGACTGAACCATTATTCTGCGGTGCACCGGATCTCTAAGCATCATGCAAGTTAGCATTGAGCAGCTATATATATATATATATATATATATATATATATATATATAGTTTTACTTTCTGGACTGACGGTATGCAAGTCACTTTGGTCGCAGCGAACCGTGAATGTCTGTAGGCTACTGCTCAATAACGTGCGATTGCGGACTGGTTTGACTTTAGTCATTTATCTGCGTGCGGATTCTAGGCCTATCGGACAGCCGGGATATCTGGTCGCAGTAATTAACGCTTTACCTGTTCATATAGTGGCCAAAGAAAGTTAAGATTTCCTGATTTATTCTGGATCACTAATTCTGATGGACAGCTGGGTCCGAAATGACGCGAGGCAGCGGATCGGATGCTGACCGTAGAGACTGTTGCCGAACTTAGAAGGTGCAGTTACCAGTCTGCGCCGACTATTTCTTCTACGGACTGTTTTCATCATTCTAGTGAGCTTCCCTCCATACCGTTTAGTTGATTTGGACGCGCCATAATTTTAAGCACTTCAGCGTTATTGCCAAGGAAGCATCGCATTCTGTCTCCTAGCTAGCTGTCTGTCGTTAAACGCTTATTGCGTGGTATTGTGCATTCTTTTGCATAGCAAATCCTGGCTTCTAATGCCTTAGTGTGCCCATAGCCGATGTACGCCAGTAGTAATAGATCACTGACTGTGTTGTTGGCGTTTTCTCATTGTAACCTTTTTCCAGGTAAAATTACCTTTTGTTTCCCTATCTAGATCAGCGCTCCTATTCATGTGAACTCTGCGACAGATCGTTTGCTGCGAAACACACTTTACGAACACATATCGAATCCGTTCACTTTGGTGAGTGTGTAATAGCGTTATTTACTTTCCGTTCTCATTTTACGGCGGTTTACCGTATTGCATATTCTTGGTTTAGCAGTGTACTACGTATCTCATGTTGTTTTACTCATTACCCATGTGCATGGTAGTCCAATTTCAATATCGACTATGAGTCTGTGAAACGAATGATCCCTTTGAATCGTACGGCCGGGATGTTTGAGATCTACTTCATAGCTCTTTGTTTCCACTGTGTCCCACATTCTATTCACCTAGCGATCACTCCAACCATACAACTTTTAGTCCCCATCGTTTAGACTTGCGTTTTTCGCAGACCTCGGTGACATACTCGAAATGGTTCAAATCGGTTATCTCACCTTCTCGGGTCCGAATCCCGCATTTCTCTTTTCTATGCTCTAGTTCCAGGTGATATTGATACTCTGTGATTGGATGTGAAATTTTCTTGGAGTGGACCCACACCTTTTCGTGGCAGAAGTCGCAACAAGACTGGACCTTAACGTGGTACGACGGTTTGCGTACCTCATTGACGGTTGATGCCTCGGGGCAATTTGAGAGCTACTCCTACCAGGTTGGTCAATGGTGAGAGACCAGACAAACTCAGTCTCCTTGTCCTCCAGGTTGGGGGTTTGAAATGGGATGGCGTCCGTTTCTGCAAAACTAAATCACTGCCGCCCCGCTGCCTTGCGGATAGGCTTTTGAGCCAAAGGCTTTGGATGAGGACCCTAATCGTCCTCCTGTCTAGGTCTGGGCGCCCTGGCAATATCTCAGCCCACATACAACCGTGACATTTTCTTCAAACACAAACTTCATCCTGCATCAGCCGTCGCGCAGATTATCAAGGGTCGCCTTATCTGCTGCATACAGCAGGGCGGATAAGCAAAAACATGCTACTGCTGGCGCCTCCCTTCTTTCTTTTCCACCTGTTTCTCTTACTCCCATCCCTGCCCCCATTACTAACCTTCCTTCTATAATTCCCAGCTTAATTGACAGCAACCGAAGTGCTACTGGAGTAGTACCATCTGCAGCCACCATCCCACAGCACCTATCGGACGCCTATCGGCAAAAGTCCCTTATAAGGCCACACTGTCCCGTTTCCATGGCGACATTCAACGTCCGCACTCTAAGACAAACAGGTCAGCAAGCTGCACTCGCACGCACCTTGTACACACTGGGTGTTGATGTGTGTTGTGTGTCCGAAACTAGGACTAATGACCCTAACGGGGTTATTGAATTGGCTGCACCCGGCTTATCCTCTCGTTATTGGTTGCACGCATCCGGAGACGCCGATGCAGCACTCACGGGTCAAGCTGGTGTAGGTATCATTCTCAGCTCCAAGACTGAGTCATCGTTGGTTGATTGGATTCCGGTGAACAGCCGTTTATGTGCAGCCCGTTTGACGACATCAGCTAAGGTGAATTCGCGAAGTAGTGCAAAACGCTGTTTGTTTGTGATTCCCGTTTATGCTCCCACCGACTGCAGTTCTTATGCAGTCAAGGACACTTTCTATCACGAACTGAAAGCCCTACTACGCAGTGCTACTAGTTCATATATTATTGTACTTGCAGGGGATATGAACGCACAAGTAGGGCGTCTGAGCTCTTCAGAAGCTCAGCTGGGTGGTAAGTATGGACTTAACTCCGAACGGACTGACAACGGCGAACGTCTGCTGCAACTGTGTGCGGGGCACCAGTTGTTTTTACTAGCATTGTTTTTAGACACAGTGGGCGCTAAAGTGCCACTTGGCGTCCACCTGTAGCTGGCCAGCGATGGACCCAAATTGACCACATAGCCATAAGTTACAGGTGGCGCGGTTTCATTCTGGATTGCGGCTCGTACTGGAGTACCTGTGTCGACTCTGATCATGCCTTGGTGCGCTGTCGTTTCTCCATGAACTTTACCGGAAGGCGCACAAAGCGTCTCCTCCGATTGGCAACGGAGAAATTGTCCCAGCCCTCGGTCAGGCAAGCCTATCAAGAAGCATTGCATAGCGAACTCTCGCTGTCTTGTCCTAAAGACACTGAACTTCAGTGGAATAGGATCTCGTCCGCCATGCACGACGCAGGAGCATCAGCTTGTGGCACTATCAGTCGTCAGCGCACCAGTCACTGGATATCCGAGAGGTCCGTGAACCTGTTGGAAGCTAGAAGACACCTCCCGGCTGGTTCTGAACACAATGTGACCAGACGGGCTATTAGGCGTGAACTAAATCGGAGCCTACGTGCTGACAAGGAAGCCTGGTGGACCAGTAGGGCTCAAGAAATGGAGGAGGCAGGAGCAGTAGGCAATTACCACAAGCTCTTCCAGCTAATACGCACCACTGGTCCCAGAAAACCAGGCGTCAGTGAGACCATCAGAGACAGCGCGGTTGCGCTGATACACAATAAGGAGCGCCGTATGGCTCGTTGGGGTGAACACTTTGAAGATCAGTTCAGCTGGCCCCCTGCTCCCGGACCTCTTCCTACTCAGGTGACGCAGGACGATCCATGGACGGTTAGTTTAGAGCTTCCGTCGGAGGCCGAGTTCCGAAACACGATCACAGCCCTCAATCGTTTTCGTGCCGCTGGCCCGGATTCCCTCCCACCTGCACTATTTAAAGATGGAGGTGAGGTCTTCTGCAGGGTACTGACCTCCCTATTCGAACGTACCTGGAACGAAGAGTGTGCCGGCTAATTGGAGCGATTAGATTATAGTGGCAATATACAAAAAGGGCAGTCGCACAGACTTTGCGAACCACAGGGGTATTAGCCTAACGGCAGTTGTGACAAAATTACTGGCCTCGATTATCGTTCGTCGCCTCACTGCAGAACGGGAATCTCGGATTAGGGAAGAGCAGGCTGGTTTTCGCCCAAGACGTGGCTGTGTAGACCATATATTTACTTTGCGGCAGGTGCTAGAGCAGCGCCATGCATACCGCAGACCGACAATAGCTGTGTTCCTCGATTTCAAGAGTGCGTTCGATTCGGTCGATCGATCGATTCTGTTCGAAGTACTTGCGCTCAAAGCTGTTCCCACGAAATATGTGAACATCCTTCGTGCTCTATACTCGAACACTACAGGCCGCGTCAGGGTCTATGGTGTCCTATCGGATAGCTTTTCGACTACAAGTGGCGTTCGTCAGGGTTGTCCGATTTCCCCGTTTTTGTTCAATTTCGTCGTGGATTCTATCATGGAGTGTTCCCTTGCGGAATCTCACGATGTAGGCGTTGATGTGCTGCCTGGTGAAAGGTTAGTTTATCTAGATTATGCGGACGATATCGTCTTGCTTTGCGACGATGTTGCGGCAGCACAATCAACCCTGAATAGCCTGTCCAGAGTGGTCCCATTATTTGGTATGCACTTCGCACCTTCAAAGTGCAAAGTGTTGCTGCAGGACCACCAGCCACTTGATGACCCCTTGACGCTTGCTAACGAGGAACTCGAGGTGGTTGATCAATTCACTTATCTTGGCAGCTGCATCAGCAATGATGGGCGCATAGAAACTGACGTGAGCTCACGCATTGCAAAGGCCAGAGCTTCCTTCTTGAACCTGGGGCATCTTTGGCGACAGAATGGAGTTTCCCACCGTCTGAAAGACCGTGTATACAAGACCACAGTGAGGGCCGTTCTGCTCTATGGTGGTGAAACTTGGCCCCTTCGCTCTGAAGATCTGAGGCGCCTTCAAGTCTTTGATCATCGTTGTTTGCGAAGCATTGCTGGTGTCGGATGGCACCAGCGTATTCCCAACGATGATGTGCGTAGACGGGTGCTAGGTAGTGATGATCATGCTAGCACCCTAGAGCAACAGATAGCACTGAATAAGTTGCGTTGGCTCGGGCACTTGCTACGCATGCCTGGTCACCGCTTACCTAGGAGGGCCTTGTTCAGTCTACCAGGTGTAGGATGGCGCAAGGCTGGAGGTGGACAGAAGTTGACTTGGCAGCGTGAAATGAAGTCACTGCCCGACCAAACTGGGTGCCGTTGGTCCGTCTCGCCTTCCGGGTTGGAGTCTACGTGACTCACCTTGTGTTTGGCTCGAGACTTTACAGGACATGGCTCGCAGTAGGCACCAGTGGCGCGTCTGCTGCCGTCTCCTAATCGGATTGTCTGTTTAAAGTGTGTTTGGTGCTGAGTTATCTGCGGGTTAATGACTGATTATGACGCGTGGCAGTGAAAGCCGCAAGGAAGCTGTCTCGCCCAAGCCGCCTTATCTTTGTACGATAGCCAGATGTTTGTGACGGTATGTTGACTACACAAGGTGTATGCGCCTTGACCCAGAATGTTTGCTTAGGGCATTAAGGTTTTCAGGTAAGTCCCCCTTTCTCTGCCTCTTCTTATTCTTTATTTCA